ACCTAACCAAGGAGCACAGTCAGTAGGACTTAAATTTCATGGTCTTCCCTGATGTGAGGTTATGGTTTCCATGTTGTGGCTACCCTGAAAGATGCTCTAGTAGTGCCCCCTCCGCCCAAACAGGACCTGAACGGTCAGGGTTGGTTACCATTGCCTGCAACAACTTCTTGTGAATCACTGGGACATTCCCAGCAGAATGGAATGCCAAAGTGGATGTGATTTTGTAACAGTCAATACAAACAGGAAACTTAAGGAAGTGTAACAACCAACATTTTTTTTTTTTTTATTATTAGAGGCGCAATGGCCAAGCCATTCAGGAGGAATTAATTTTCAGGATTTGGCTACATAAGAGCTCTACAATCTCATTGCCTTCCCCATGCCCAGCTGCTGGTTTTTTTTTTTTCGGGGGGGAGAGTTCAGCAGATGCCTTCCATCCTTTGGTCTTCGAAGAAAGGTTCCCTCTAGTGGCATTAAGAGGAGCATCGATTCTGTCTTATTGACTGATCTTGGTCCATAGTAGGGGCAGGGGGAAAGAAGACACTGCAGGGTGTTACCAACTCACATGAGGAAACACTGACTTGTCTTCATCTGGCTAGTAGCCTAGGACTCTTGTGTACCACAGGTTCTTTATTTTTTCCATCAGCTGCTCGGCCAGTATAGTGAGTTTAGTTGTTTCTCTGATGAGGAAGTTCCTGTGGGAGATGACAGTGTATGTGGTAAGATACACCTACGTGTGAGGTATGTGAGGGTAATCTCTGTCTGCTGTAGTCACCACGCTGCCTGTCACTGAGGGTGCAAAGCTCCTCAGAAGTCCGAGAGGGACTTTCCTCAGAAGACAGGAATAGGCAGTATGTGTTTGCCATGAGTTACATGAAACTGTATCTCTAGGGTCATCATGCTTTTCCTTTTGGGAGGAAACTCATTCTGCTGCTTTGAGGAATATGTATTCACAGAGTCAATTCTGTGATTTGCATTGAGTGACAGCGGTATTTCCTGGCACCCTCACTACTCAGCCCCTCACAGACAGCACTGCAGCACCCTTGCAGGTGGGCTGATCCCCCACCAGCCAGAGACCCCCTCCCTCACTACCCACGTATAAAGAGCAGCACCTGCTATCCCCACAAGCATTGCAATTTTCAATGTGCATCCCTGGGAACAGCTTGCACTTTCACGTGAAACCATATTGTCCCACCCTGCTCCCACTGTAGTCAGATCAGGCTTTGGTTGCGGATTCGTTTCCCATTGGGTCTCCCCACATAGATACTTGATTAATCTTCTTTCTCCCACTCCTCCCTCTCCCTTTTTGCCCATGGCTTTTGCAGTGTTAACGTAGAGGATCTTTCCGTACCTGGTTGCAACAACTGCTGGAGTCTGGGCAGCATCCACCAAGAACTGACCAACTTTAGGGGACACCTTGTTCACAGTTTCATAGATATAGGCTGCAATTGCATCGGGGACGACCAACCAGTCACGACGGTCTTTCTCAAAGATGGACTTTGAGTGCACTTCTGAGAAAGAGGAGGCAAAAAACCATGAGGCTTCTCCAGTCACTTGTGTCTCTGGTATCTTCCCCCAGATGCAGTGGGAAGAGACTCGAAATTCTGAGATTCAGAGCCTACCCCAAAATTTGTACTAGCAGCATTGAGCAGCACCTCATCCCTCATTTTTGGGCATCTAGGTCATCTGCCTCACATGGCAGAGTATTTGAAGCAGATATGGACAATATTCATGCCAGGCCCCTACTGATTTGTTTCACGCTGCCAAGCACAATATATTCATGGTCTTGAACTGTGTTATTCGGTTTCAGTCCTATTTTATGGATGGGTTAGGCTGCTCTAAGGCAAGTGAGAACCCCTTAGAGCTGAGCCTTGTCTCAGGCAGACAGAAAAGCTTGTGAGACTTACCGGGGACAGTGGTGCTAAGGAGCAGAATCAGAGCTATCACCAGTGCCCTGGACTGCAGCATGGTTTGCGGTACCAGTCCCGCTCTCTCCACTAAGAGACCTGCGGGAATCAGCATACAACATATTTGTTTGTTTTCAGAGAAATAAAACATGTCACTTAAACATCAGAATTTTGCAACAAACCTAGCCAATAAATGAAGAAGAAAACAGGAAAGATCACGGTGCATTTCCTCTGAAGAAGTGAGGAAACGATAGTATAAAAATGAAAATGTCCTTTTATTTGTGTAATCACAAATATCCACAATGAATGATAGCTTTCAGAGCTCCGAGGAATATGTGAGAGTTAAAGCTGCTTCCTTTATATGAGAGTTAATATTCCTTGTTTCAGCACATGAGCAAACCACTAGAACTGGCAGAGGTCAGAATAGGTTTCCTCCACACATAAGTACAATGGAAAAATTCATAATGTGGGATTTTTTTGTTTGATTTTATTTTGGTAAATTGCTCTAAAGAACGTTGTGCTAGTGAGCATATCACATACAATGATCCTCTTAGTGACTCGGTGATCTGAATATTTTGTCTTGCTCTAGTTGAGGAAAGACACAACTAGGTTCTCTTGTCTTTTTCACGTTGGGATTAATGAAGCAGATAGTAGCCCAGGCAGAACAAGTTCTCAAAAGGGAGTAAGTGCAAACTTTAGCGTCATCCAATCTCCTTTATTTTGCCTATTAAAAATATCAGAATTGAAGGAACTCTTGAAAATTTGGTACTTGGTACATCGAAAAGATGACATTACATCTAAACAAGCTTTTCAAACACACTGCATTTAAAAACGTGTTTAGAAGTTAAAATTGATTTATGCCCTGAATTAGAGCGTTGCATCAATTAGAGCAACATGAAGAAAACATTGCAGCGTTAGGAATTGCAATTGCAAAAAAGGCTGCAAGTCCATTGCATGTGAATGCCTTGCTAGATCCTGTGACATGTAGCTACAAGTCAATGCTCCTTCTTATCCCACAGTCAGGAAAGTTCCATCCATTTTTATTTCCTTCTGTGCACAGATTACCTCCAAAAGCTACCACTCCATTCACTAGACATTTGCTGACCAGCAGCAGTTGCTCTGTTATCACCCTTCCTTGATTTTTAATCCTAGAGCCAGTTTCTCCCTCTGTAGGCAAAAGGTATAAATTTGTTTCCAAAGAGCATGAAGAGGTGATCTTACCCATTTTAGAGCCTGTAGTCCCTGTGGTGAAGGCAGCTGGGCAAAGGTAATGTCTCTTCCAGCACTGAAACTCCACAATCCCTACCATGGGCTTGACCCTCCTATGAGTGTTTTATGGAGCATCCATCGCTCAGCTTTGATCCAGGTGACCTCAAGCACTCCCACCCTCCTCCATTTCAGCAATGTTCCTGGCTATGGAGCGTGAGAAGGGCTCACACATTGGTTTGCAATAAGGAACTGGGCAAAATAGAAGACCACCTCCACTTCTCCATGTCCTAGATATACCAGTCACAAAGTCCATACCACCCAGAACAGAGAGTTCAGCTCTTACCTGTCCTGCCTTCTCTCTCTTTCTCCAGCTGAAGCTGAGGTAGATGCTCATCTGAGACATCAGCATTTATGCAGAGCTAATATAGTGATAGGAAGGGGTCAAAGGTCCTGCTTTGTATCCCCGTTTGCTCTTTTGCAAGCACATCCAGCTTAGTGGGACAGGCAAGAAGCTGTGGAGGACTCTGGACCTGTTATTGAGATTTGGTAATGGAGGGTCAGTCTGACCTGAGCCTGAGAGACGTGGAAGGCAGCTCCTGGGTCACCGAGTCCCCCACTTTTCCAGGCTAGCATGTCATAGAGACCCCTTTCATAAGTTGACCAAATTCCACATTAACAGTAGCTAGTAGCTAGAGTCCCTGTGGGAAGGCCTGTGCTGTAACCTCACTGCTCTGACAGTTGGGACTTACTCGCGGCTATTATACCCCTTGGTTTTTCACCCTCCATTTCCAACAAATGGTGCACAGAGGTAAGTGTGCATCCCTTTCGCATTTCTTCTTTCCCCACGCCCCCATCTTTTTGCACGGGCTGACAAGATGGGCATACATCTGAGCCAGCTGTCAAAACTTACCCAGGGGAAACATCCAGCTCTGGGGGCCTCAGCCCAAGACTTGGACCTGTTAGAGCAGGTCCAGAGTGCCACAAAAAAATGATCAGAGGGGTGGAACACCTCTCCTGTCAAGAAATGCTGAAAGAATTGTGGTTTTTCAGCCTGGAGAGGAAAAGGCTCCAGGGAGACCTTACTGCAGCCTTTCAATACTTAAAACGGGCTTAGAAGAAAGACAAGGACCAAGGCCTGTAGTGACAAGACAAGGGGAAATGATTTTAAACTGAAAGAGGGTAGATTTAGATTGGATATAAGGAAGAATTCTTTATGATGAGGGTGGTGAGACACTGGAACAGTTTGCCCAGAGAAGCTGTGGACACCCTATCATTGCAAGTGTTCAAGGTCAGGTTGGACAGGGCTTTGTGCAACCTGATCTAGTGTAAGATGTCCCTGCCCAAGGTAGGGTCAGGGCAGATGAGATGATCTTTAAAGGTCCCTTCCAACCCGAACCATTCTCTGATTCCACGATAACTTCTCCCCAGGCTCCCTAGGGACCTGGTCCCAGCCAGAAGGTGTCTGCATCGCCACTGCAGGGTGTGTTTTCCCATACCTCAAGTTCCAAGTGCCCCTTGGGTCTCCGGTCAGGCCAGACATCTGTGTTTGGCACGTGCAACCACTGAGGGGTAGGGGGAAGAGACAGAAAGGCTGCAGCACGGAGCTGCAAAGGGCATTAGCAAAGGGGAGTGAGGAGGATATGAGGCGTAAATGAGGTGTGCAGTCTCCCAAAAAAAAGTCTCCCAAAATAAGAAGAACAAAAAAAAAAAATCCCCCATACAAGCCAACCATTTTGCATTTTGTCCAAAAAATAACAAGAGAAAATTCTTACTAACATATAACAAGGTTAATTCCAGAAGTAAGAACAGAGAATTTTCAGTTCCACTTCTGGTGCAAACACTAAAAAGCAATTTATGGTCTAGGAAGAATACACAAGAGCAACTGGCTGAAAGTTCTCTTATATTTTAATTATTCATTTGACAGTCATTGAAAAGAATCTACACATCTACTATCTGCTTTTACAGCTGGAATAATATTCAGAAGACCAGCACAGAGCACATTATAGGCATTAAACTTAGCAGAAATAGCAATGAGCAGTCATTACTTGTGCGGGTTAGTTTAATATAACCTCAAGTGTCATCTTTCTCTTATGCCAGGTCGACAAATGGAAGGCTCTAACCATATTAAGTGGGTCTTTTAAACTGATGTGCAGCTGGAGGTAGTAACACAGAGGGGACTTAGCTACCCTATGTAGTAATATGTACTGCTGAAGAGCTTTGCATTGTGGTGGTTATCACACAAGGCAACTTTCCACCCCTCCAAAGTTAGCCTAACTTTAGCTAGTGCTGTCATGAATACAATCCCAGAGATAGCAACTGGGCATTTCAGCACTTTCTACTGCCAAAGAGGCACTTGCCAAGACCAGATCAATGATTGCACAAGAAGCAGCCCTTGCCCTCCATTCCTGGAACGGCATTCTGGAATGGCAGGGTGCTCTGCAAATAAGCAAGAAAGCCAGATACTGCAAGTCCTTTCTTAATCAAAGAAAAATTACATTATTTTTTGATGTCTCTTATGAATCTCTGGTCTGAGGTAGAAAGCATCTGACAGGAGCAGCACAGGCATCCTTATCTGCCCCATGTGGCATGGTCACTTACTCATTACAGTATTATTTTAAATTAGGGTAACTCCAGTGGCTATCAAGGCACTTTATCTGAGACAGAAAATTTATTCTTGGGGATAAAGTATATTCCTTCCTCTGCATGACAGGAAGAACAAAAGTCTAGAATAGCAATAACTCTCATATGTGAAATATATTCAACTTTTTTTCATCGCAAATGGGCTGACATGTGAACATCAGCTATTTGGAATGGCTGAAAAATTAAGCATGAATAAATTGCAATGTAAAAAGAATAAGGCTAGGCTATTTCCTACTGTTACTTCTTTCAGTGTGCAGTATTTGAGCTGCTCCATTCTCTCTCTCTTTTAAAAAGTCGAAGACCCTGTAATCTTACTGGAAAAAAAAAAAGAGTCCATATAGTATTGTGCAGTGCTGTCACAACAGCTTTCATTTATAGCCAATTAAAACCAGAAATAAGCATTCAAAGCAGAGCCTATTTCCTTCTTTTCTGTCTGCTTGCAGTTGTAAAACACGCATATATAGATTTCCTTTGTCATTATTTCACAGCCCACCAACTAGTGTTCTATGATTTGCACTGGTCTGTGGACCAGTAAACCTGGTACCATTTCTTCTTCCCTGCTGGATAACCTAAGCTACTTCTGTCACAATTTAAGAAGTTATAAAATTAAGTCTGAGATACAATCAATTTTCCCTGAAGTGTTTTGTTTAATGTTTCTACAATTATGAACAAAATGACTGAAGAGGAGCTCAAGTATGATAAAGATAAAACTCTTTAGACTTCACACAGCACAAATTGTGTTCACACAATCTACAATTAGTCACCCTAGGTCAATTATGGGGACTAGAGGAACAAATAAAGATGGAGGGCTCCTTCATAGGATTTAGATAAAAAAAGCACAGCCTCTGCAGTTAGTGTGCTCACACTGCAACAGCAAGCTTTGACAGTTGCTACTGTCACACAGAGGCATCTGGTTTTTCTTGCTGTGTGAGAGGCATCTCGGTCTTCGGAAAACTTGCTGGACGCATGTTGGCTTCTACACACTTGAATGCGAAGGAAAATGAACTCTTTCCCATGCTACCATCTCGGGATCTCACCTGTCTCAATAGCTTCTACTCTTGATGGAGAAAGGGGCAGCCCTACCCTGAAACCTGGACGTTTGGGCTGAACTGAGATGACAGGAAGAAGTTGTCCTGCATGACGGATCTACTTGGAAGCATAAAGTCAAATTTCAAGCCACCAATTCAGTTTCCAAGTGTAGATTCTGCAGGGCCCTGAGTATCTGCTAAAAGTTGCCAGAGGGCAATGCTAAAGTCAAAACTGGATGCTAGTTTTGGAAGAAGGAGCCCCATATTATTTTCTGTCACTGTAGTCACGATAAACTCCTCTTAACTAATAAAAACACTAGCCCATCATAGAAGACAGGGTGTATAAAATCCTCAGCTTGTCGTTAAACAACAATAAAAATTATTTGCAGCCAGTGGCTGAGAACCAGATTCAGAAGTGATACTGGCTTCGCAAATTCTGCAAACATACTTAATTCCCTGTATTTCAGATGTAACTCACAGGTCAGTTCACATTATTCACAGTTTGGGTCTAATGCAGACAAGGACTACCCTTAATATAGCGTTCCTTTCTTGAATTCAGACTTTTGAGTTAGTCCTTCAGCTCTCTTTTATGCTAGCCATCAACTGCTAGTGAACAGCCCCTCTGTCTTCAAAAACCAGGCCTCCATTTCTGGAATGAAATCAGTCAGAGAAGCCTGTGGGTCCTCCTTTATCTCCATACACAGGAATTAGAAATAAACAGTCAGCCAAGAAACTGTAGGAAAACAAGCACTCTCTGTAGTAGCCTTTGGTCAACCAGCAACTGCATCGGATATCCAGCTAGGAGCATTCGCTCCAAGTGTGATGTCCATCATTGTCCAAAGAAAAGAAAAAAAGGAGGTGGGCAAAGTGAATCCCAAGTCAGTCTTCCAAGGAAAGACATAAGCACATCAGTAATTAGGACATTAAAGAACAAATAGTAGCAATTGTCCCACGTGGCATGGGCTGGGAAATAAGCTAGGCAATACAGTCATTGATACGGGCCAATCTCCAGTGCCTCTGGGTTACAAAATAATTCAAAAGATGCTCCAAAAGCTCCTCGACAACAGTTGAGTCTCTTGAATCCAAGAAATGCCTTTGGCAAGCCAGTTTTCCATGGAAGCAGCCATTATCCAGAGAACATCCCTTTTCCAGCACATTTTAAATGAAAACAGTGGATGTATCACATCAAGGAGAAATGGCAAGTTATTCTCCTTAGCAACTGGTCTCAGAGCATAGAGAAATTCTGTGTTCTAGTTGCAAGGTGAGAAATGAGACAATAGTAAAAATGGTAACTGTGAGATTTCTTCAGAGTCCTTTATCCCATCCCATGTATATGATACATGGCACAGACAGCAAAGGGAGAATACAAAATGCATAGAAAAGAGTACATGGCTTAGGAGAGATATATCCACCAAAGCCATGCTTCCTAGAGTTGAAGGAAATTCTGGTCCGTGGTATGAGGGACAGCAGTTATACCTTTCTCAGTCCCTGTAGGGATGGTCAAACTCTGTAAATTTAGTCCTTTAAGTTCACAAATAAATCAAGGCTGGGTGAAAGGCTAGAACAAGTATCTTTTAAGGCACTAAGGTCTAGCCTTAAAGTAGGGAAGATTGTTTCAGTCAGTATTGGGTAGATAAGCTGACAATTTGCAGCTGAGCTAGTGAGCCCTTACTAAGGCAGTCAAACATCCTTCCAACACTGTGATCCTTCTGTTTGGGAGAAAGGCTTACTGGGGACAAAATGAAGCAACTGCCCCAACTAGGCTAGCAGCCAGGCAGAAGCAGGAAACATTACACATTCTGAAGCACAAAGGGCCTTAGAAAGGACATGCTGTGCCTCACTACACCAAACTCCCAGGGGACCGGATCAGATGACCTCCAGAGGCCTCTTCCAACCTAAATTATTCTAGTGTCCTGTGACTTTACAACTCTGTGATCACTGAAATCCCTCTCCAGTAACTGGTGTGTAAAGGACCAGTATTCTACAGACTGTGATCCTTGCAGTGCCAGGGCGCCTAACAAAGACACCTGGTATCTCTCTTTAAAGATTGGGAATATACCACTTACTGAAAAAATCTGCTGTTTCCAATATAACGTTTTCAACGGACCACAGCCCATCACAAACATGAGTTTTCAAATCACAGCAAGAAAAAAAATGGGTTATGTATTGCTTTCATGGGCACTAGGCATAGATTCTTCAGAGTTGTAAGTCTAAAGGGAAGCTGCTTCATCTGTTTTTTTTTGCTGGTTGCCTGTTCAATCAAAAGGAGCCATCCCAACCTACATAGTAGAACAGCTAAGACAGTCCAGTGGGAATCTCAGTTCTTTCAGTACTGGCACTAAATGACTATGCTTCTTCCACTGTGGGAACTTCCTCTGTCCTGCAAAAGAAAATAAAAGATTCAGGAACAAGGAAGGATGAATGGAAATCATATGTCTTCAATCCTGCTCTGAGCACCATAAACCCCTCATACATGCACACATCCCAGCTGGGACTAGAACGGCACTTCCTTCCAAAACTCTGAAGGGAAAATGGTAATGTGCAAAATACAGCCCTCTGAGAAGACTCCCACCTGGTAAAATTCTGCATGTATGTGAAAAGGGACACTTAACATTTTTTATTTTAAAAACCTTCATTTTTTAAGGGGGAATACACTAACTTGGAGACTAGCAATTTGATATGAAACTGTCACACTCAAGTTGCTACCTGAAATCTAGTCCCAGTATAAACTGACAAGATGAGCTGTGAACAATAGCTGTTTGCCACCCATATAATGCATGTTCAGTTCTCAAGAGTCCCAACAAGCAAGCCATCCGCTTCCACCTGGCCTGGAGGATCATACATTTCTCACCAGTATAGCCACTCATGATCTTAAAGCCTATTTCATGTAGCTTTAGGCATCTTACCTGGATGCTTTCCCATATGAACCATCTTAAAAATATCACCAAGATACTATAAAAATTAAATGTTGGAGATCGATAACAGGAGAATCATGTTAAAAGAAATTAGAAGTAAACCAGCACCAGAGAGGGATGCAGAGGGATGCTCAGTACTGCAGCTTACTCTGGAAGTGCTTTTTCCCCAGGCAGGGCCAGGAGAACAGCCATTCTAACACCAACACATACATAGAGCCCCAAATGCCTCTAGGTGGGAGCAGGAGTGAGGAAGTATAGCATGTCACCCAATGTGGGATGTGATAGGGGACCTTACTGGGCTGCTCACTTTGTCCCTGAACACGCTACAGCCTACACATGTCTGAAGGCAGGGAACCCAGTGGGTTCTTCATAACCAAGCTGCGCAGGGCACCCAGTGTTCCTCCCCCTTTGTCTGAAAGACAACTGCAGAAAGTAACAAACATTCACTCTCACTCGCCAAAACCCACCTCTTCCCTTAGATGGGAAAGCAAAAAGGCAGCTGACTCACCGAGCGTAGCCCTGCGCTGCCTTTTTGCTTCTTGTCCTGACCTGGGATGATTTCTAAGGAGCGATAACTGGGGGGTTTATCTTCTGGCCATTCCCGAGTCTGGTGCCGCCGCCTGCGGTTTGTCGCTGGCAGTCGGACTTGCTCTTCTGAGGAGCTCCACGACCCCCGGCGAGAAGGGGGAGAGTAGCTGTGCCGCCGCTGACCTGAGTTATTGCTCCTCCTGGTATGGTGCTGGTAGTCTCGCCTCCCTGCGGGCTCCTGTCTCCAGCCATGATGGTGGCTGGAGCGTTCCTTGACTTCGTCTGGATAGAAACTGCAGCTGCTGCTACTGCTCTTGCCCCTCTCAGCCTGGCGTGGGGGTGACGCATCCCGTCGGGAATGCTGGGGCCTGCCATTGTAGCCCCCTGTCCTCTGCCTCTGAGGATGGTCCTCTCGCTGCCTGTCCCAGGGCTCCCGACTATAGCTGGAATGAGAATCCCCGCTGGAAGGCAACGGCCACCTCCGGTTTTCTCTCCTGTCCTCTGCTGCAGAGTCCCAGGGTCTGGGGGTATGGGCAGCTCTCTGCGGCCGTGAGGAGTTGTTGCTCCCATGGAGGGAGGAGATGTGATCAGCTGGAGGAGGTGGCACGATCTCGGAGCCCAGGGAGGACAGCAAGCTGGGCTGCACAGCCTGCCGCTGGTGGGAGTGTGGCCGGAGCTGTGACGTGTTAATGTTTTGGATTTCAGCCTCCAGATAGTCCAAAACACCCTTATTAGGGTAAAGCTGAGCCTGTGGCTGCACCAGCGGAAGACTGTTCTGCAGAGACACATCTAAGGATAAAAGCACAAGAGAATGCAGCAAGTCAAGAGGAAATAATAAAGAGAGGGCCCTTCTGCACTAACAATTCCGGCTGAGTCCCTTTTGAGCCTCTCTTCTCCTGTTCCTCCTCACTGCGAGCCGCGCGAGTCTCCAGCACGACAACCAGCACATCCAGACCACACAAGGCAAGGTGCAAAGAGTGGTAAGTTGCAGCATGATCTGGTTTTTGGGCAGCACAGAGCTAAGAATCAAAGTCATCCAGCACGCCTGGAAATATAGTTTATGTACTTAGAGGGACGGTTTTTTCCTACAGCACTGATACCAAATTTTATTTTTAAAAAATCATATTAGAGAAAGTTCATAATGTTCCCTCTTGTATCTCACTGAACTGGAAGAAATAGGAACCAATACTGCAAAAGAAAAATAGTTTTTTATATATATGCACACATAGACACACACATGTATGTATAGATATAAACAGCCAATGTAAAGGTTTCTTCACTAGGACACTGGAACTTCACTGGAACAGTTATTAAAAGAAGTCATGGAATCTCTATACTTGCAGGTTTCCAAGACTTGCTGGACAAAGCCACAGCTAATGTGACTGAGGTTGGTGACAGTCCTGCTTTGAGCCAGAGGTAGAACTAGATGACCTCAGAAATCCCTTTTACCCAGCGTCTCTAAAAAGCTGACCTGAAACAAATTTAAGGGAAACTTAAGCACAAGAGATTCAAGGACTGAAAACACAGGCGAGGAAACTGCCTGAAGAACTTTGGTCATTTTCTGTCAGCATGCACATGGATTTCTTTGAGAAGACTCAGTGTATTTTGTCTTAAATTGTGGTTGCTCTGTCACCAGAACTTCCTAAGGAGAACTCATGCCCTGGGTAGAAAAAATGGTAACTGTAGAATTAACTAGCTAGCTAAAGTAGTATATACTCAAACATCTTGAATCTTGCATTTAAGATGTTTGCAAACTATTTCTTCAAACAACAGTTAAGATTCATCAGACGTAGAGTAACTCTGTGATTCCTGTATGGTGATGAAAAGTTAATTTCAGGTAAAACCCATGTTATATTTATTTGACAAGTCATTATGTTGAATTCCCCTATTTTCACTGGGTGATTAAATAATATTACTGGTAATAAGTTATTTTATTATTTATTTCTCTAGGACTTCAGAGACTCCATCCTCCCTCCTCCATTAAAGTTCCAAATAAATACCACTAGTACAAGTGATTTTGAGGCAGAACAACTGGAAAATTCTTCCTGGCTCATTAAAGAGTTCTTCAGTTTTTGCTGCATGCAGGCTAGATCTATTGCACAGAATACAGTTTGCCCTTAATCATTTGAAGACTAGACGTTTGATAAGAGCTCAAACAAATTGCACCTCACTTGTCATGTCAATTTTGGCTATAAGGAGTTGACCGTGACCAGCGCTGCAGAACAAAGAGACAGTACCCTCTCTAGCAAATGAAGTGAGATAAGCTGGAAATATTTACCCTGCAGTCACTGGGGTGTAGCACAGATATACCTTAGTTAGCATTAAACTACTAAACCCAGCAATGAGCCCAGCAAGACACTTAAAATGGATAGGATGTATTTATCCACTCAGGCAAGTCTGTAGAACGCTGCAGATGTAGCAGAGCTGCCATGCTAGGACATGCAGTCATGCTAGGAGCATCTTTCTCTCTTTGTAGTTGAGAGGGTAAAGCCTCACTGATGAACCTCCCTGAGAAGTTACCTGTTTCTTATCCTGATTTCCCTCTAATATGATGCCTATGGTCTCACCTTGTTGCAGTAGAGGGTTCAGCTGGTAAGAGGAAAGTTGAGAGTTCCTGTCGCCACCTCCATAGAACATGTTGGGTGACATCCAAGGTGCAAGTGCCTGAGCCTGCTTCATGAACCGATGCCGTTCCAGTACTGTAAAACAAGATGATGACATCTTACAGCAGCTATCCAGAGAGCACAGCTTGCAGACCACGTACCGTTTTGCTTGATATACTGTTGCCTCTGGATGTGAACAGATATAGGAAAATTCACAGAACGAAAAACTCTCTCTACCCTATGACAAAGGTAAACAGAGCACAGGAAATTCCAAAACAAAGTTTTACTGTTTCAAAAAGATACCTAGAACAGAAGAAAAGGATTATAGCCTGACATTCCAGGTACAGTTCCAGCAACTGGGAACAAATGGCACTATGATTAAGTACACAGCACATAACCAAATGCAAGACTTCTACCTGCCCTGTTGTTATGAGTACAGGTGCAGAAAGGTGGGAAATAATGTTTCATACAGCAAGGCATACCACACTGTTTTCTCTCTTAAAACTTTTTCAGCTCGTCATTGTTCCTTTCCCCTTTTAGCTTTGATTTACAGCTAAATGAGATCTTTTTTTGCCACCTTCATGTGGGCTCTGTCAGATCATATTTTCCAAACCATATTCCATCATTTCCTCTCTGTTCCACAAACAGGGCACTTGAGATGCACTGTCCAGTTTCTCCCTTTCTAGTCTTTCAATCACTCTTGTTGTCTCTCCCCATAATTTACCTCAGCATGACTGCTAAAATTAAATCACTTAGGACAGTGTGGTCAAACTGGTGAACAAACCAGATTTCCTGTTCTCAACAACAACATCCAGAGTGCCAAAAGAGCAAACTCAGTGGAAATTTCTCTCCCTCAGTTTTTCCACCACTGCTAACTCCAGACCCCTACTCGTGGGGTCAGGCTCCAATTCCACTTCACTTTTTTCAGTGCTTCCATCTCACCTCCTCTACACAGACCACCTTACCATCATCCCCATCTTCAAAACCATCGCTCATTGCTGCTTCTTTTTTGGGAATACCAAAAACATCTTACAGAAACTTACTCCTGCTACCACAGACAATCAAAACTTCAGTGTACAAGCAAGTAAATTCTGCAAGTCCCAGACCTTACAAAGCCTGACTCTGCATGGTTCGTCTGTCATTACTGGGTGAAGCCTTTTCTGCAATAGGGCCTTTGCAAAATTTCTCTTACGTGGCTTCTCTGGAGTTTCAGAAGTGGCAGGCTTTTACTGCAGCCTCTTCTCTGGTCAGGTATAAACAAAACATTCCTGGCTATACAGTTCAGGAGACAGGAACATAACTGCCTTTGAGACTTTTACCCTCACTGATAAATCTGGCTGAAGTTGGCTGATGAAATTAAAAGCTATTGGAGGGAAAGAGATAGGGGACAGACAGGCAAGTTAACTGCACAAGCTTTGTTTCTTTAAGAAACCAGGCTACAGCTAAGCTCCAATTCTGTCCCCTGAGTTCATCTGCAGCAGGTAGCATTTAGACTGCACGCTCTTTGGGACTGAGCTCTCCATTTCACCCCAGTTATTAAACATGTCCTCCTTTAGCTGTTTCACTGAATTTATACAGAGCACCACTTGCAGCAAAACAAGGACTGACTATGCGTCTCAATACATCCTCCCCTCTCCCCAAAGTTCATGCAGCTCCATTTTGTTCTCTACACCAAACTCCCTCCCACTCCCTAGCCTGGCTCCAACCAGAATGAACTACAAAGCTGGAAACTTCAGGGTTTTTAATTCTAATACTCTGATTTTTCTTCAAAGCTGTGTGGCCTGAGGTAGCAGCTGTCAAGCTTTTTACGTCAAACTTGCTTCTTTTTTTTTTCACCAAGAGATTTTCCTCCAGTTTAGGTTTCAAACTTGGAGAAGGAGAGAAAGGAAAAATAAAAAAGGATAAAAAGAAGAGAAAGGCCTTATCTCTTCCTCTTCCATTCCTCCAGTTATCACCTTGAGAATGTCCTAGAATGTGCTGAGTGTGCATCCCTAAGTTTTTGACCATAGTCTTTGCCTGAGGAGTGAAAGGCCCAGCAGCTGTGGGCACACTTACTTAGGGCTCCCCTCCTTAGGGTATGAAGGCAGTCACTAGGACCAAAGTCATCCTGTCCCTGCAATTCTCTGATCTCTCCCTACAGCTGAACAAATGCAGAATTACACTTGGACTTCCTTCACCCTCTCATTCTTCCCCAGATACTTTGTCTTTCAGTTTGAACCCAATATATATTCTGGTTCCTCATCTGCAAAATGGAAGTAAAGTTACTGATCTCTTTTTAAAGAAAACATATTTATCTGAGGAAGGTCAGATTCACCCTAATTCCAAAATTCATGCCTGCTATAAAACTTTAGCAGAATGTTGTGTTGTTCCCTCCACTTACTCCCTGCTGAGAAAGGTTGTTCTTTACCTTTGACAGACTTTACAGCTGCTGGGCCAATTATCCAATTATTAAAAAAAAAATATTTTCCAACCTAGTCAGAGCCAGGTGCCAGTATATCCTATTTTGCACCAATTCATTAGTAGAAGTTGTCCACAGTATAAAAGGAACTAATAGGAACAGAAGGAGGTCATACGTATATTTACCCTGGTGGGCTTTTCTCAGAACTTTCCATGGAGAATGTAATTGGCTTGCTCCTGGAACATGTTTAATATTTCTGTACATCAATTCTGAATTACTCAAACAATGCACTTGTTTTATTACTAGGTACAAAATCATGTTGGTTAACGACCTGACTTAAAACACCCAGAATTATTATGCCTCAATGGTATCTGACTGTTCTGCAGATCTAGGCTACCCTCTAGTGGCCAATATTTGGGAAGAAATCACACATACTGGGCTCGGCTCTGTCACTCCTAAGACTTAGTTAAGGATTTCTGCCTTCTCTTCAGCTGTATAGAACTGTAATTCCTCAGGACTGTTTTTTTAATATGCCCCCTGTATCTGTCTTCTTGTGGTTTTTAAGGCCTCCAGTTCATTTCTTGGAATGCAAAAAAGTAAGTCAGAGGCAGGATGAAGTGAAGGTACGCTAGAGGAGGGGAGCAGGCATGAGAATCACTTGCAAAGTAGATAAAGTGGGCAGGCAGCTGGGATGGAAATTACAACCACAGAATCCAGCAGCCAGTCGAGGAGGCTGGACTTGTCTGTACCTTCTTCTCATAAGCAGGGAGAGGTTTAGGGAACTCTGAAAGAATCCCTCCTACCTATCCTCAACAGGAGGCAGGAAAGACAGCAGCAGTCTGGAGTGTGCCATCATCTCCTACAGCACAGAAAAACAAAAAGGAGCTCACACATATTCTGAATCCCTATTTTGATGAGAACTAGGAAGTCTGGAGGTGTGAGTCTTTCATCTCCGTCACCTCTCTCTCCCTTCATGGAAACTAACTTTTCTGCCAAATTTTTATAGCCTACTCAACACTACACATTTTACTTGACAGCCTGTAAAGCCCCAAGAAAGTGTTTCAGTTTTAGCAGTAAGAGGGATGCTCTGTTCACTCTTTGCAAGGGCTAAGCAAATTAAGCTTAAATCTAAAACTCTCACAGTTTACTAACACCCAAGGTATATCAAATAGCACTTTTGCAGGTAAAGGGAAAGCAGAAACACAGCTCCTTGTTCATAAATTCTCTCCTTGTAGCATCTGGGGAAGAATCTGGTGATTTCAGTGATAAATAAGTGTATTTGTTCCATTTTGTTTCTGTCAGATTGTGTAAGCTGCAGGGGGGCTAGTCCATCTTGTATTGCTGCTAAGTTTCAGTTAGAGGAGCACAGAGGTTTTATGACTTTAGCAGCCAAACTTCAAATGGTGGCTTTATTAAGAGAACAGGGTCTGGATGCAGAATCTCTATCACCGCTAAAAACAACATACAACAAAGCTTCTCTTGACCCTCAAAACCTCAGAATGCATTGGCATGGCTGACCACGAAGAGAAACCATCTTTCTCCTTTCTTTCTCCTCACTTCCTTCCACAAAGAAAAACAAACAAAACCTTTTCATTGTGGAAGGAGCAGCTCTCATGCACAGGCATATGAACCACAAGACAAGGAAGAAAAGACCTGAGCTACTCATACATGGGAGCCGATCGTGCCCTGGATGACACGAGAGAAGTTGGTAGCAAGGTGTGAGTGAAAGGGAATTTCTGAAAGTAGGACACAGAGGAGCAAGATGGGCTCCATGTATCCTAGCTCCCTTCCTCTAAACTCAGGTAAGGTGGTCACAGGGGTCACACTGGACAAAGAAATGTCTCAGTCTGTATGGATGACGAACTGGAGGGAGAAAGTGGAGCTCAGCAACTCCCAGTCAAGCTTTTGTCTTGACAGAAGCCATGAATGGACACACATTTGCTTGAATCTCACCTTCCTCATTACAGCAGCACTGAGTCGGGCAGCAGACACATGGGACGTGGCAGCAGCAATACTGAGGGCAGCACTGGCACCAGCACACTCCAATCAGCAGAAGGAGGAGAAGACCACCGAGAACAATGAGAAGTACTGTGAGCCAGTCTGTGGAAAAAATGAAGAGAAAAAGAGGATCCTGATGTACCTGGGTATAGTAAGTTACTGAGCACCCCCCCACTGCTGGAGACATCTTATGTGGGAAGGGGGGGTGGAAGAAGAGAACAGGAGGAGCTATCTGCCACCCAAGCAACAAACCACAGGCACTTACGGAGAACAATCAGCTTAACTTCTTTGTCCGCATCACCTGAGGTATCTCCTGGTGCTTCCACAGCGCAGTAGTACACGCCATGGTCCCACCACATGACCTCACTGATGACAAGGTCTGCCCCTGTGGGAGCAGGAGTGAGAAGTTAGCGGGCCTGACAGACACTACCTTCAGGCCCCATTCTAAGAGGGCCCTCTGCCTGCAGGTGACACACACTAGTACTGCAGCTCCCCTCTTCCCAAGCCGTCACCTTCAGACAATCCCATTTGAGTCCACTGAGAACTCCTGTAAACAGCATTATCTGCCAATTCCTTCTTTCTTTCTGTTGCTGGAAGGCAATGCTACTCAGAAGCGGGACTAGTACTGTGTGGGGTCAAACAACCAGCATGCTGCTGGGTGATGGATGTTAACAGATACTGGCTGCTGCCAACTGCCAGCCCTACTGGTTTTGGAACACAGATAGATCACTGTCCCTGTTAGGCCAGCCATCCCAATAACTCTTCTGGCAGGAGCAACAGCCATTGCTTGAGAGACAGCAGGGAGCATATAATACACCTGGACAATTATGCAGTCCTTCTTAGAAAAACAAACTGTTTTCTAGCCTCTGGGCTCCTCAGCTTACTTTTGTGCTCTTCAGCAAAATGCTCAGGCACCCTCAGCTCAGCCTTAGCTTGAAGTGCCTCCAACATCCTCAGGCCAGCTGAGGGCAGGGCCCTTCACAGCTCTTACTCCATTGCCAACTCACAGACTATGTAAGCTCCAGAAGACATTAGCCATGTCTATGCTTCCCTTCACTTAGTAGATCCAGATATTGGATAGTTACGGAGTTCACTGCCTGCCTGGGAGCTCAGGTCACTTACGGTTCTGAATGGTGATCTTTCGTTGCTGGTAGTCAATACCCAGCACAGGCTCCTTCTGCCCATACTTCTGGATGACAATGCGCACCCTTCGCTGGCTGTCATTGCAGTCATCAGATGGGTCCTGGCCAAGAGCTAAACCAGCCTGGTATGCTACAAACACACATCATCAAATAAGATGCCAAAAGTTATTTCAAAGGACCAATTTCTAACCCCTTGTGAGCAGCAGAGAAACTCTTGAATGAATGTGTGCATTTGCTTTGGTTTAGTAATACAAAGCATGGCTTCAAACCAGCAAGGACAAATTGCTTTGGAGTACTCAAAAGCAAAGAGAGTTAGAGTGACAGGAATGGCAGAGATTTTCAGAATGCAGGAACTGCAGAGGAGACGCCTCCTGTACTCACAACCGAAAGAACAACACTATAAAGAAGCTAATGGTGTTAGGCTGGAGGGCAGCTCCCAGTACGAAGATAAACTTCAAGGAAAAAAAGTCATAAAACTCCCAGGAGTACCGGAACTAAAACAAAAGTGTGTTTATTTACCAAACAAAATCTCTAGATGTACATGAACTGCTGTAGGGATTGTTTCCCTTTCCCTCCTGTATCCCATTAGATATTGTGGAGCTCATAGCGACAGAAAATCTGATTCCAGATAAGGATTATGTGTAGAGGCACCTAACAGAACTAATGAAGGACTAGAGGCAACTTCTGTGCAATGCTCTTATGACAGACTCAATACAAACTAACATTGAATTACCATGTATTTGGGAGCCTAGATGTGGAGAGACAACTGACACAGTCAGCACTGTCTGTAAAGGGCTTGCAATGAAGAGAGGAGAGGACAAAGCTTGTCAGAAGTTCCACCATTGCTGTATCTATAATAGATCTTGAAGACCAGACCCAGCTAAGTAACCACCGTGACCTTCATGCTTTCTGTCCCTGTTGGGGGCTATTGGCTTGAGCCTGGACACAAAGCACTCACATTGTGCTGGGATCAGCAGAGGCAGAAACCCACCTGCTTGTAGACTAGGCTGTAGAGCACTTGGTAACATGCCTGCCTAACCCATCCAGACTGCATAAAGTAGAACTTGGGCACCAAGACACCGAACAAGTCCAGGCTTCCCACTCTGAGCTCAGTCTTAAGTGTGCAGTTAAGCTAAGTTTGGCCCACTTAATCATACTGCAGGGTTTATAGAGAAGAGAAGAGAACAGAACAGAATAGTTCAGTTGGAAGGGACCTACAATGGTCATCTAGTCCAACTGCCTGACCACTTCAGGACTGACTAAAAGTTAAAGCGTATTATCAAGGACATTGTCCAAATGCCTCTTAAGCACTGACAGGCTTGGAGCATCGACCACCTCTCTGGGAAGCCTGTGACAGCACCTGACCACCCTCTCAGTAAAGAAACGCTGCCTAATGTCCAGTCTGAACCTCCCCTGGTGCAGCTGTGAACCAGTCCCACGTGTCCTATTGCTGGATCCCAGGGAAAAATGCTCAGCACCCCCCTCTCCACTTCCCTTCCTCAGGAAGCTGCAGAGAGCAATGAGATCACCCCGCAGATCCTTCCCTCCAAACTAGACAATCCCAAAGTCCTCAGCTGCTCCTCACAGGACATGCCTTCCAGCCCTTCCACCAGCTTCGTTGCCCTCCTCTGGGCACACTCAAGCATCTTCATGTCCTTCTTAAATTGTGGGACCCAGAACTGCACACAATACTCAGGTTGAGGCTGCACTAATTCTAAATACAGTGGGATCATCACTTCTTTTGACCAGCTGGTAATACTGTGTTTGAGGCACCCCAGGATGCAGTTTGCGTACTATCTTAAACACTACTGAATTAAGGCTGCACATGCCAGAATATCTGTACATGAAGTGCTGCCACCAGTACTAAATATTACTACTTAGAAGTCTTTCTGCCCTCCAAAATGCACATGTTTCTTCTACTTCCTAAAATCAGTAAGAAACTAGCTCCAACCATGGGGTCCCCTGTGGAATCATAAAGTCCACTTGTTGCAGGGCCATCACTTTCAAACATGCTGAAGCATAAGAAGGGGCTGCCAAGATTGACATGTGTCAAACATGGCTGAGCCTCTCTGCCTTTGGAGTTGATGACAAGGAGGACAAATGAGCTGCTTTGGCTGGGATTTCTATAACATCGTATCATAAAGCCTTGACACTGCAAAGTAAATCACAGACATGACCTGTTTTTTCTTGGAGCGCAGGGAAATACCACCACCCAACCTGGTTTGCGGGCAGGAAGAGGTCAAAAGCCTGTATTACCCAGTAAGTCTACCTTCCCCTTCCTTTCCATTCGAAGAGGGATTCCTTGGAGGACAAGCCTGAGACTTACAGACTGAGTAGTAGTCAAAGATGGGGTCCTTGCAGAAGGACTTGAAACGCCAGGTCACCACCACATCCTGCAGCTGAGCTGAGGTGCTGTAGTCACACTTGAGGACGACAGTGGCAAATAAAGTGGTATAACGCTCAACATCCTGCACTGTCACCAGGAGGGAGAGGCAACCTGCAAGCAAGAACACAGAAGGCAGTCAGCCCCCAGGAACAGACATTGCATCACAACTTTCACTCTCTCAGACCAACAACTGAAGTACATCTCCCTTGGCCTCACCCAGGACTGCACCTACGGACCTCACCAGCCCTCTGGTGAAGCCATCCAGCGTTACAAACCCTGGTTAGCACGAGTCCCATCTTTCTCTGACAAAAGGCAGCTTCAGCCAGCTGCATTGGCCTGCCTTATGGACTGAACTACCTTCTCAAAGCAACCATTAATAGTCATTATGTAGCACATTATTCTGTCTTCTCCTTCTGCATGGGGAAACTGTTCCTCCAAACTGAGGGAGATAATTTGATGGGCCCAGAAGCACACAGGATGGGACTGCCGTGGTTTGTCATCCTAACCAGAAATGTTCTGCAGCACCATCCGTTCACATTTAAACACCAAATTAATTTTATCAAGGTCTCGCTAAGAGTCATCAGAATGTTATCTAGTGGTGACCAGGACTAAGACAATACAACTTTTGGGATGTAGCATCATAGTGAAACTCAATGTATTTATTGCCACTTCAGAACAGCACACATCAATTACCCTTTTTTTCTTTTTTTTAATTAAGCTATTGCTATGTATGTTTAGAACCCACCTGAAACAACTTCCACAGCATTTTCTATCCAAACAGGTGCATCCACCGAGGAATGTTTTAAAAAGTTTCTCATAAGCTATGCTTTATTTTAGCCACACTGCAGAGACATCTCTATCTTATTTAAACTTTGATAATACAGTAAGCTGTGCTTGTCATTAACAATAGTGAAGTTATCACCAGTTGCCTTTGATAAGGGAATACAAACAGTGCGGAGCGAGTGTGGGATGCCCTGTCTGGAATACACCCCAGAGAACAGGGCAGCAGCGGTTGCAGTGCCATGCCAGTTGTTTCTCAACTGGGGAGCACGACAGCAGGAAAGGAGGGAAGGAAAGGGGGGAGGCTTGGAATGTATCTGCTGAAAGGGTCTCCGTGAACCACCACTGGATTTTTATTACATATTCAAAGACTTTCCCTCTACTTCATGTTTTCAGGATGAAAGCAAGGGAACAAGGGACTATGTAGTAACATCTGGATCACAACTGTAAGAATCATTCTTTCAGTGTCCTCTTATGCTGCACCTACACATTATGCTCCAGGCTAGTGAGACCTCACCCAATTTCCACCCAGTGGAAAACATACTGCAGAGGTGCAATGCTGCTTCAACAAGTAATTCTGCAGTAGGGTACTGTCAATGCAGCTCCTGCTCAGTTTCTGGTTTGAAACAGACTCCTGGTCAGCCAACTCAAAGCACAGGCAGAGCGAACTAATTTGCATTAAAAATACCACACAAAGAGGACCAGGGTAAACTCTGATTCCAAGGCTTTTCTGAAAAATAAAATATACACATGCACTTAAACGCAGAAATATCAGCAGCTGTGCAAACCCTAGCAAAAACAAGGACCTCTAGTTTTTACAACACTGTAGCAAAGCAAAGTCTGGACTGGTGACAGGTAGTTACAGTTGCTCTTATTTAAGATCACTGTACTTCCACACATCTTGTTTCAGCTTTCATTGTGAAGCAGCTGACCCACAGGATTTTACCGCGGGAAATCACAAGAAACAAACCCAAAATCTAAACTCTCAGGATTGGTAACACCTTGATCTCATTGTCAACCAAATGAATTCCGACATGCTGAGGCTCATGGAAACAGAACAATTTTCCATGAGTCTCCTACAGCAGCATCTCTCAGGTAAGAAGAAATACTCAAAATCACCACATGCTTTTCACGCACAGAAACCAAAGCCCTTTATGAAAGGGATCCTTTCTCATTACCTCTGTCCTGCAAAAGAGTCAGAGTTGAAAGAGAAATTCCTTATTTTTTAAAGAGGTAAAAAACCTACTGTTCCCACCAGAGGCCAGTTGGATGTCCCTACACATCTGATATTTCATACTAACCTTCTCCAAGAAAACTGACAAGTTGTGAAATTAAGGCCAGTTCCTAAACTTGGACCATGTTACTCCACTGCATGCGGCTATCCTTCTTATCCTAGTTGGAAGGAACAAACCTGGACACTACCAACCTCAGGCCTGTGGCTTCGCCTTGAAGACATGAACCTTCAGAGCCAGTGAAGCCAAGTTTTAGCCAGAACATCATGCAGGAATGCAGCTGCCAAGCAAGACAATCAACAAGCACACCTCCATTCTTTTTTTTTTTTTTGGCTTCTTTTACCAGTTCTCTTAAAAACTGAACCTGGGTATTTAAAGCTAAATCATCAGCAATGACCCAGGCATCCAAGAAGCAAAATGATCATTAGATTTCCTACAAGAAAGAAGCTGCCAGGCAACCTGCAAAGCTAGGCTGAAAGGACTCTATTTGCTGAAGGCCGCCTGCGGACATGGAGGCAAGCTCCTACTCTCCATACAGCCAAGTACCGAGCAGGCTCGGAAGCGCCGCAGCTACACCAGATCCCCGATGAGGCTGGGGCCGCTGAGCTAGCACCGCAGGCTGGGGTGGGCGCTTGCAACAAGCCAAAGGGGAACCCCTCCACGTTTGTAGCCGGTGCTCAAGTCCGAACCAAGCCGGCCGCCCACGACCGATACTGGGAGGCTGCCAGGAAGCTGGCGGCCACTTCCTCCTAGGAGAGCGGCTGCCCGCCGCACCTGTGGGGTAACGAAACTCCTCTCCGCGTGGCTTTGGCGCCGAGCTCGGGAGAGCCTCGCTCATCTGCCCGGCGGGGAAGGACACCAAGGGCGGGGAACAGCGCTCCGCGGGCCAAGGCCACCCCTTCCCCCCGCCGCGGGGCCGCCGCCGCCCCCCCCCCCCCCCCCCCCACGTTAACCCCAGGTAAAACCCGAGGGCGCCTCCCGTGCCCTGGCCCCCCTGTGCCACAGGGGCGGGTCACCCGTGGGACGGCGGAGGCCGGGACCCGGGCGCGGCCCCACTCACCGGCCGGCAGCCAGGCCAGCAGCAGCGCCCACCGGCAGCTCCCGCACGGAGCCATGGCGCGGCCTCCTCCGCCCGCCCGCTCGCTCGCGGACGCCGCGCCGGGCCACCCCGCCGCGCCCACGGGCCCTCCCCTTCCCGTGGCACCTGTCCCAGGGCCGGGCGCTGCCGCCGGCCACAGTCCCCTCCCTCCGCGGCGCGTACGCCCCCCTTCCTCCCCCCGCCAAGCCAGACAGAATGCCAGCCACCAGCTTCGGAAGCTGTTTTTTTTTTTTTTAAAAAAAAAGGATTATGTATATCTAGAAAAAAAAGGTGCGCACAGGTGTGTGTAGGTGAAGATACGGACAGAGACAGGAAGTTTCGCCTGAGCTCTGCCGCCTGGGAAAAGACGCCGTAACTGACCGGCGCACGGCACTTGCTTCGTCTTGTGGGCTGAAAGTTTAGGGAATTCAATTCATTTCCCCACTCTGAGTTTTGAAAAGACCGCAACAGTGGCCAAAGGAGATTGATACTTAAAAAAAAAACCACAAACAAACAAACAAACAAACAAACAAACAAAAAAAAACAAAACAAAGAACACCTCCTAGCCCCTCTAATTTTCAGCGGACAGGTAGCTTCGCCGCGCCGCCTCAGCCCCGGCCGTTACACCGCCTAACGGCTGCCGACCGCCGCGAGCCCTGAGGCCTGCCCCCCCCGCCCCGCCCCTAGAGATGGCGCATGCGCGCACCGCCACGGCGCGGGACCGGTTGCCTGGAAACCGGTAACGCCGCGATGGAGCCGGCCCCAGGTAGGGGGACGGGTGGGAGGGTCAGGGCCCGCCCCGGCCCTGCACGGGCCCACGTCGCACCTCGGGTGGGCCGCAGCCCTTCCACCGCGTCTCCCCGCCTCCCGTGGAGCCGCCGCCGGTAGCCACCCCGCCCCTCGTGCACCCGCCGGGGGCATCGCCTCACCGCGCCCCCCCAGGGCGCCGCCCGCGGCTCCCGCCCCGCGGCCCCTCGGAGCTCACTCCCTTGCTCTCCCTCAGGAGTCCCAGGTGTCCGCTGCCCGCCCCTCTGCGATCCCCTGCAAAACTGCCTGTCTCGGGGCGCCTCTGCCTCGCCGTGGCCTTTCCCTGGTGCCCAGGTGGAAGGTGGCCTTGGAAAGAGCGTCAGGCTGGGGCAGTGCCGGGCCTGCACCTCTGAGCGGGGCTGGTGCCATCGCCTTTGCGTGCTGAAGTCTGAGGAGGGGCCCCGAGTTCCTACGCAAGGGCTTTTGGAAAAGAAAAGCCTTTATTCACGTGCGGATGCTTAGCTTCGGAAAGGTGAAACCGGGATGAATGTCCTGCAGCCGAGATAGACCATCCCGTACTTATTTTGAAGTGGGACTTGTTGGTTTTGCTTTACCACGTGTGAGGCAGTTAATTTTATTACCTGTTGCATTTGTGGCACTGTTCTCACGTTCGTTTTTATGATTTTCATTTATACTGTAAATTAATAAGTAACTGTGGTGATGTCACCGGTTCCTGTTTCTACTTAATAAAAATCTGGTAACCTTTATTCACAAGGCAGACTTTAAGAAACTCGAAACTTTTGCTTGTATGAGTCAGAGCTAGGACACCTGGGTCATACAGAGGACTGCCTTAGTTGTAAGGTTGGGAATTAAGTTTTATTTCTCCTAATTTTATAGGAAAATATTTTGAATGTGTGCAACACAGCAATAGTGAGGTTCTAAGCAGGACTCTTGTGTCCACTTCTTTATCTCTCTGATGGGGGAAAAAAGACAATGGGGCTATGATAAAGATGATGTGTCTAGATCCTGCTTTGTAGCTTTATCCTTGATCACTCTGTCTCTGACTAGTAAATATTTTATGTGTGTAACTCTAACTACTGTGAGAATTTATATCTACTGTTATTCTCCTTGCTTTCAAGTCTTCTAGCTATCGTAAGAGAGACAACAATATTTTCTAGCACAAAAAAAATTCTTTATTTGGGATTTTGGGTTGATTGCCTAAAACTGACTTCTATTACTAATTCTGTAGTAATGCTGACTGATAACAGTACACAGACAGCACTGTATAGCTATGCCTTATTTACACTTGGATATTTTTCTTTGTGTATGTATATAAGCACTAAAAGGCTTTAAATTGTTTTGAATGAAAGTAAGCTGTGCAAAACTACTGCTTACACTGGTTGCACTCAGCAGCAGCTCAGTAAATTGCTGGTGTACTCTGATGTGGTACTCTGAACGCTAGAAGGAATGCTGAGAGAGTTGTTCAGTGGCATGCTGTTTTTCATAAAGAAATGGAAAACTCAGAAAAAGCTGCTGAGGGGACTTTATCTGAAGAGGAGTTAAATGAGCAGGACTTGGCAGATGGGAAGAAACCCAACATATCCAAAGCAGAGCTAGACTTGAAGAAGATGCCTCAGCCTGGAACAGATGTTTCATGTATAACTCCTCATGTCAGACGCCCCTCATGATAGCCAAAAGTTGCAGTCATTATTTTAGGCCAGTGTTATCCCCAGGCCAGAAAGATAGCAGAGTGTAGCCCCGAAGGCTCATAGTATGGTGCTAAGAGAAGTCAGGACTGAAAACAATAATGCAAAACAAAGTCTGGGATGAACTGAGTTCCTTCACATGGAACAAAGACAAGTAAAGGAATAACACACAAGACAATCTCTCCTGAAGGAAAGAACAGGTGACTTTTTTTTTTTTTTTTTTTTTCTCCATTCTTTCCCTAAAGCCCACTGGTGGCCAAAGCTTTTCTACAAAAAATTGCACAATTTGGAGTGAACCAAAAAATAAACTCCTGCAGAAGTAGCACAGTACAGAGATGAATTTTTAATCTCTTGCTTATTACTGGTACTAATAGCACTGCAGATACGTTCTTCAGTAATAATGCCCTATTTCTACATATCCCAAATTAGTGGACAAAACTGATTATCACTCTTCTGTAGATATAAAAGCTGAAGTGAGATAGGTGATGTGTTTTAAAGACAGTCACACAGTGGGTCAGAGACAGCTTAAAATAATAGCTACTAGATATGTTCAATTCCTAAAATAAAAAAAGTAGGTTGCATTTGATCATTATTTAATTTGATGCATTTTATTCAGTTGAAGTGTCAGTCATGGGATTTATGAAGGTAAGCACTACATTTATGAAGTATCTGGAGTTTACATGTTTAAACGCTTTTTTTTTTTCTGGAAAGAGCAAAAATGTAGGATGACAAAATACAAACAAAATGGTGTAATCTCAGTGAATTTGTTTACATGTTACCAAATAAACACCCATTTGATTTAATTATCCTGTATTTTAAATAAATGAGACAATTATCCGAGATGAGAAATCTCTTTAATGTCCAAATTTACCTTTTTGAGAAGGTCTTATATAAGGATTCTGTGTGGCAGCAAAATTGCCAAGAAACATCTTAGTTTTGAAATAACTGAAAGAATATACCTAAACGAACATTTTTCTCCATTCTGAGTTGAGCTGTGGCTTTTGAGAACATAGCTAAGAGAAAGTCAGTTTGAAAGAAAATGGAGATTAGCTGAAAATCACAGTTTATAGCACGGGCCACTGAAACAAAACCTGAATTCACTCCTGAGTGAGTTCTTAGAAAGCTAAATGGTGGAACTGTAGCTCTGTAGAACTGTAGTTCTGTGTAGTGTTTCAGGTCTGTAACTTGAATTACTAGGACTAGAGGAAAAAAACCCAATACTGTCCTGGTCAGGCATAGTGTATAATTAAGGTTGACAAAAATGTCTGGTTGCCAACTTGGTTTTTCTTCGCACTTCACACCAGTTCTTCTTGCCACTATCTCAGTTTTCTGTATCAAAAGCCTTAATTCTATCTTCTTTAGGAAAACTGACTCAAAAAAAAACCCAAGAAAAACAAAACCCACAGGTAACAAAAAACAGCATTCAGAAATGCATACCTTTGTCACAGTGAACCTACACAGAAGTTTTCTGGATCAGTCAACCCATGAAAGCTAAAATCTGCAATCAAAGTAAATGTGTCCCCCCACTGAGCCTCCTCAGAGTCTTTAAATTCAAAATTTGTTGTGCTTGAACACCATCACAGTAATATGCACGATGAACATTGCAATGGCTTTCTTTAACTAGAACCCAGCAATGCAGGCGGAAATGTTCATACCCTCTTTCAGCCTAAAGCATTTTCCAGATAGGAATTAATTTATAATGAAAACTATGATAGTCTTAATTTTTAGAAGATAAATGATTGCTAATTAGTTGCAATAATTTGAAATTTTATAGCACTTTTCTCGATGGATATCTAAACACTTTGCTAAGATGGGTAAGTATTATTATCTCATTTTTCACAAGAGATAACTGAGACAGCCAGAGGTGAAATGGCTGATACAAATTGTACACGTCATTACTGGGTTTGGAATTAGAATTCAGGTCTGTGAATACTCCACTATATATTTATGCAACTAGTCTGTAACTATTTCTTCAACTTCAGTGATATCAGTTCTGTTACCCCATTAAAAACTCATGAATTTAATTTAAATACATTGAGATATATTGCAATTGTTTTTATTTGTTTTATGAATGTAAAACTTTATGCATGTCTATTTTCAAGTTTTTCTCAGTGCTCCTGAGGGGTAAAAGCTCGTTTTAATTCTTAAATGAGATCATGCAGGAAAGCTAGATGCTGGCAGAGACTCAGAACCTTTGGATGAAGACTGAGTAGGGCAGGTTGACTACATAATGACAAGAATGACATGTCTACAATAGTTCTTTGCCTTTGCTGTCCTTCTGGTGCATGGCATTATGTTTGGACACTTTGCCTTTCCTGAAATACCTGAAAAGTCTGAAATGCCTCAAAAGATCTTTTCCCAAATGGATTCTGGTTCACAGTCAGAAACAGGAAATGCATTCTTAGGGACTTTTTCTTGGTATCAAAGTCAGGCTTACACATAAAAAAAGATTCATTTGCATCATGTCTATATTTCTTATTCTGAATATTTAGGTTGCTTTACATTCAACTTCTGAATTTTCTGATTTCTAATAATATTTTATAGCTGTAGTATTTGTACAAATTTTCTTCAATGTTCATTGTAAGGTACTTTATTTGGAAATGGAGACCGTGTTTGAAATTAA